TACTGCATGTACTGATGGATGGTGGAGGCCAGTTGAACTGTGAAAGTGCTCGGCCCGGCGGTCCATAAACCTCTGTTGGTTGGTGATCGGAGACTCGCCCACCCCTCAAATAACCTCACTGACACCAGGCTTACTGAGGCCAGTGGACCGAATGGGTTGGAAAAGTCTGCGAGTGTTGCCGGAGAGGGCAGCGGTCCCCATCTCTAAAGCACGCTCCGACTACCATATCTGGTGATCCTTGCGTAGGCTTTGCTTGATCAACCGGTTGGCAGAACGGTGCCGCTCGTTGCAATCTGATTTCGCGGGGATATCTTTTCGGTGTTCGAACAACTCCCGAGAACGAGCAGAGATCCATGCCTTTAGGGGGCGTCGAGTTAGGCCATAACTTGACTGTCCAGGAAATGTCATAGCTTTCCGTATACAAGTCCAGTGTTGTTCCACTTCTTGCGGTGGATTGCAACTGAATCCATATGCTAGTGAAGACTGATAGCTCGCCTGGACAGAGGAATCGGTTAATCTGTTTACATCAATCTTGCGGTGCTTCGTGTTTCGGGATCCTCCAAAACACATACAGATTTTCGCGCAGACCAGAGCATGATCTGAGTCAACGAAGGTGGACAAAAAGGACCTGCAGTCCAGTACGCTGCCGCGCCATCTGAAGCTAATTGCAATGTGATCAATTTGAGACCACGGTTGTGTTGGCGAAGGGGGACGCCACGTTGCGGAACGCTTCTTCGCACGCCTGAAGTTAGTCCTCGAGTGAAACAGATGGTTGTCTTCGCACAATGTGAGAAGCCTCTTTCCGTTATCAGAGCGGTTCTCATCGAGCGCGTGATGACCACCAAGGTGGTGTTCATATGGTAACAGGCGGCCAATCCGTGCATTAAAATCCCAGGCAAGGATAACGACATCCGACTTTTTAGCATTAATCAAGAACTGATATAGATCCCGGTAAGATTCGTCTTTGACCGAGCCGCCACTGCAGTCAGTTGGACCGTACACAGAGATCACAAACAAGTTGCGTCTCTCTTCTCGGTTCTTGTTGAATCTACATAAACCCCGAAGCCGAACTGCACATAGTCGGCTGTTAATCGGGAACCAGTCCAGTAGTGCCGCCTCGGCCTTTACACTTAGTGCTATACCTACACCAGCCAAACCCGCTGAGGCTGCTTCTGGATTTCCAGAAAGACGCGGGTGATATCTGGCTTCGTAATCAGTGGGGGATGTCAATGTAAGCACAGTGCTGGAATCTTGCAACCGGGTTTCTGAAAGGCAGCAGACATCGAAATCGAGTGACTCTAAGGTGCGCGCTAGACCGGCTTGCTGTCCATTCTTCATGAGTGCCCGAACGTTGAAGCACGCCAGACGGAACGAAGAACGGGGACGAAGAAGTGCCACAGGTTGAACTCCATGGTTCACGGGGCAACCGGAATCGCAGCCAGATTGTTGAACACGTGAATCGGGTCACGGAAAGTGAGGATTGTTAGCAAACAAACCATTGGCGTGTGATGAAGTCTCGTGAAAGTGAGAAGCAGAAACGATAGCAGGTGAGCACGTTGTAGTACATTACATGGTTTTGTGAGAGGGCGTGGTACTACCCGGTTGCCCAAGCCGAAGTAGGGAGTTGACTTAGGGGACTCCACCCCTAGCCTTTGGTTAAATAACCTACCCGCAAGGTAGCGGGACGAATTGAGGGAATCGCGCCCATCAGGTGGCGCTGACTGAATGTTCAGTTCATGCGCCTTTGTTTGGTAGATCACCAAACAGTGGCCCAATACTCCCCATGAAATCAGCACAATTGCTGGGATACAATGTTCCACCTTGGTGGGACATTGTCGCCGAACACTTTACTGGAACGGGGTACACCCGAACCACCCAGCTGGCACCACGAGGAGGTAGTTCGGCAAGCCAGCCGGATGATATCATAATACTGGGTGCAACGCAAGATAAACCACCATAACGACTGGATGAAGTGATGATACGAATCAAAGATTATTGATTCCGTTTACGTGTGGCAAAATGTGAATTTTTCTTTAGACCCATCAAGTTCTTGGGATTCGTGATTGACGAGTGCGGTCGACAACCCGATCCTGAAAACATTGAGGTGATAAACCGATTGCCTGTCCCAACGAATGTCATGACTCTGAGATCGTTCCTTGCGATGGTGAGTCACTATAGCGCGTTTTTACCGTATGCATGTCGCTTACGTCCCCCACCAAATCATCTGCTGATGAAAAATTTCTCATGGAAGTGATCCGGACAGTGTCAACATGCACTCGAGAAATTGAAATCTCTGGTGAATTCTAGCTTACTGCTTAAGCATTGCAATTCGAACCTGGGAATTATCGTGGCTAGGGATGCTTTCAGTTATTATCTCGGGGCAGTCATTGCACACCAGTTTCTGGACGGTTCGGAAAAAGTTGTGGCGCACGCTGCACGAGCCCTCGTCGCATCTGATAAGAGCTATAGTCATAGTGAAAAAGAAGTTTTAGCAATCGTCTTTGCTGTTCAGTAATTCCACTAAATTATATAAGATTAGCGCTTCTCGCAATCTTTGGATACAAAATAGGTATTCCAGTGTACACAGTTAGTTGACTTCAGCAATGAGCGACTTTACTCTTGACATGCGATTTCAACATGAGATTTTCGTCAACTGATGCTATTGGATAAGCGGACGCCCTGTCCAGATTAATCGATACCGGTAAGCGTGAGCTTGAGCTTGAAGATACACTCATTGCGTCAGTCGTAGTCAAAACAGATATTAGCCATGTATTACGGGCCAGTGTAAACAAGTCCCGAAATAGGACGCTTTGCTTACTTATACACGATAGGGCTGGCCGAAAAAGTGTCCAAGTGAAGTCCATGATCAGTTTTTCACATGGCCCGACTCTTTGTCGGAAGTCAATTCCTGTCTGTTTTTCGCGGATCGCATCCTTATTCCCAAAGTACTCAGGCAACGCGTTTTACGCCAACTGCATAAGGGCCATCCAGGAATAGTCTGGAGGTACGTGTTTTGGCCGATTAGAAGACCTTGGCCGATCTTGTTCTAAACGCTGCATTGCTTTCAATTTGTCAGTGCGTGCGATATTGTAACCGTGATTGAAACCTGATTCACCCTAGTCACTGTTACATGTGGATTTTCCCGGACTAGTTGATGGGACTTCTTTCCTCATTATCGTCGACACCTACCGCAAGTGGCCTGAAATTATCGTGATGCCAAATACGTCCGCAAACAACACAGTCTTTGCGTTTGAGACATGTTTTCAGTCAGCACGGCTTACTTGAACCGATTGTATCGGATAACGGATCGCAATTCACGTCCTATCACTTCCTTGAGTTTCGCGCACAAAATGTAACATTCCATATGTGAACTATACCGTATTATGCATACTAATAAGCAAGCAGGGTTTGTCAATACTCTGAAACTACGATTGCTGAAGTCGAAAGGGGAAGGGACGATGTATGAATAGTCAGAAAGTATATCGCTGAATTATCGAGTTACTCCGGATCCCAATGCACCAGATGGGAAGTCACTCGTGGAAGCTTCCTTGGGTCGAAGACGGAAAAGCACTCTGGGTTGGATAATTCCTGAACGCCCAACCGTACAACTAACGAACTCATTCATGTAGCTGCAATACAATAGACGATACGGGGTATGGTGGAAAAAATTGAAAGTGGATGATTTCGTATTTGCCGCTTCTATCCAGGGATGGTAGATGATGTGGATACCAGGACGAGTTTTGCGGCGTCGTGACATGGCGATGTTCGATGTACCACTTAATACCCAACCATGGAGACTTCATGCTAAACAACTGAAGCCACGTTATACACGAGATGCTGTACTATCGAGAGACAATGGGTTATGTTTTATTGAGCTGTTGGTCAGTCAGAAACCTAGTACCTCTGTCAGACGTGAAGTTCGGCCCTTAGGATGTCCAGAAAAGACAGCCCAACACAGAACAAGGATATTTCTGCAACCTCTTCATGTAGACCACGTCGGAAGTGCTATACAACTCTCAGGTAACTCATTTTCAAGACGTGGATGGTTTTAAGCGGATGCCTCCTGCGCATATAATTTTGTATGATAATTCTTAGTTACCGGCTTCCTTTTCATTGTTGTTTGTTTAGTGACCTTTCTAAACACATCATTTCCTTAATTGGGTTGGCTAGCATATGTCTTTCGTACTGCATGTTCTCTCTCGGTCCCATTTCCGCTAATACCGTTTTCTCGGACACGCGTGATTGGCTCTTTACTTTTATCGTCTCTCATTCGCTTTTGCCATGCAGCGTTTCCTGTGTTGTTGGTTGACCGCAGTGTGCTTTATTAGCTTTGCTTCTACACCATTTTAATTCATATAAGGAAGCAGTATTCTCATTTATACCTTTCTGTCCTGGCTCCTCTTCCGTGTTTTCATTGCGGTCATGGGGGTGCGAACAGTCAGCGACAACACAACAAAACTGAACATTGTATCTCCCTTTGCAAAAATCGAGTAATTCTTTGCTTTTAGCCCTGTGTGTAGACTTCGGTGGTCACGTAATCCGCTGGAGTCACCCGTTTGCATTTTGCCTGTCTGGTACTTTCTATCGTTGGGTGGATTCTCCTCTTTGGGCTTTTCGTAGTTGAACGAAGGTTTTGCCCTTCTCAGTAGCTGCCTCTTCAAGTCAGTGCAACTTTGTAACTAGTGAGGCGGAGCCAACATTTGTTTCAGCTTTTGCGCCAGGGTTGCACTCTCTTTTACTTCTCACCTGCCATTATTTTGAGACTACAGTGGCGTGTGCGCATTTTTAAAAGCAGTAATTTGGCTTCCATCGAAACTGTTTCATCCGATCACTTAGATTTGCCTTGGCATCTGCTTAGTACTTGGTCCTAACTGCCCACTGTTCCTAGCTTACTGAATGCCCTTTTGCTCTTTTAGTATTTCTGGTTGTTCTCATTACGACGTGTTTCCTTTCTACTTGCACCTCATATCAACCGCTCTTTCTTTTCCTCTTTGTTATAGTATTCAGAAGAAAAGGAGCCCGACGAAATTGACTACGGTAAATGCGTTTTGGACTGCGGACCAAACAAAAACTGCCAATCGGATACCTGTTGCCCAGCTCCGGTTAGCGCCTCTTCTGTCACGGGACCAGCAGGTGCCATGCAACCTGTGGTTGTGAACAAATTCACTGCAGCAGAGCCGGCAATCGTCAAGTCTTTGGTGTCTCCCAACTCGACTCCAGGTAACGGGTTGTTAAACAACCTGCACCCCTCCTATCCAACCAATAGCAGAATATCCAATGAGGCTCGCATTCCGGTGACTTTCGACTCAGGGCGGTCGACGGCAGATGTGTGATCAGCGACGATTCTCGATCTACAGCTAATCGATCTCATTACATGATGGTTTTGCAAGCGATCATGGTCCCGCCCTCATTTTCGACACAGGCCTCACATTCGCCATGGCACGTGTACTTTAACTTTTCTGCGCGATGTGTAACGAAAGCCACGTGTCGATGCACAGCTGCAATGGGAACTTCTCCCTATCGTTTCCAATTTCTCAGGATATGTGTTCTTCAACACAGCCTGCTCAACCGTTTCCGGCTACAGCAATTCGATGGGATATGATCCCATGCATGATGTTGCGCTCACCCGCTCTCCACTCCCTGTGCCTTTATGCGCCACATCTCCATTTCACTTATTAAACTCTGATCATTGTCAATATGCAATACGTCTACAAACGCCGTCTTTTTTGTCATCGCACTGAATCACAATCAGCGCTTGGCGTGTTATCGTCACTGCAAGATTTACTTTACTCTTGTTCACTCGGCTTCGTTCGTTTCGTCGTTCATTTCCTTCGTTTCCTTTATGGGTCTCACATCCCCCACAATACTATGCTCCGTTAAATTTGACCACTGAATCCTAGTTTTTACAGTCTACACCTGTTAATGATTGGGGCATTTATCAGTGCCTTATTCTATAGGCCTAGATCTCGGAAAGCTTTTCCGTCAAACTTCTCTACGTGGACATTTTCCACTACACAAGCAAATGGATAAAACTTTCCACTGTTTTTCCTAGGCTGAAACCTGCTGTCCCCAAAACCCATAGATGGCAGTCAAACTGTTTCTACATTTTCTTACTTCAGTCTCGGACGAAAGTAATTTCATTTGCACTACCTTTTTGTTGTACTGAACTATCTGCTCTAGGAGCTTCAGCTAGCTGGTTGTCTGCGCTCTGTTCGTTTGCGAGGTTCGTAGCTAGTAGGCGGCTGTTCAAGGCGCGAGGCTACCTGGGTGTTTCTCCGCACTCTACTTATCACGTCGCAGCGAGACTGAACCCTAACTTGGTGCTACGGTTTGAGCACTTGTTCAACCCATTGAGTTATACTGGGTGGGTGAGAGCTACTCCTACTAAGTAATTTAATGGTTAAAAGTCAGAAAAGCAGTCTTCAGGTTGACGGGTTGCAATGAGATGGCATCCATTTTTGTAAAACCGATTCTTTATCACATCCATTGCCTTGCGGACAGAGTTTGGTTGAGGGCCCTAATCATTCTCCTGTCTATGTCTGAACGCCCTGGCAGTATCTCACCTCACGTACAAACATAACTATCTACTCAAAGTTCAACCAGTTCCCGCATCGACCGTCGCGCAGCTTATTAAGGATCACTTGATCTGCTGCGTACATCAGAGCAGATAAACGAAAACATGCTACTACTGGCGCCTCCAGTCTTTCCTTACACCTGTTTCTCTTACTCCCCTTCATTAATAAACTTCCTTCCATTATTCCCAGCCTTATTGACAGTAGCCGCCATGCCACTGGAGTCATACCATCTGCATCTACCTTCTCGCACCACCCACTGGATGCTTGTCGGCCGCACTGGTCCATTCCCCTTGCGGCGTTCAACGTTCACACTATAATAGGTCAACAGCCTCCACTTGCACCCACGTTGTGCACGCTGGGTATTGATGTGTGTCGCTCGTCCAAAAACTAGGATCAATAATTCCTAACAGGGTTGTTGAATGAACTGCGGCTTCTCTCTCCATTGGTTGCGCGCATCCGAAGCCGATGATGCGGCAATTACTGGTCAAGCTGGGGTGGGCGTCGTTCTCAGCTTCAAGGCCGAGTCATGGTTGGTTGATTGGATTCCTGTAAACAGCTGTTGGTGTGCAGCCTGTTTGACAACATCAACTAAGATCGATTCACGAAGTAGTTCAAGCCGTTGTTTGTTTGCGGTCTCCGCTTATGCTTCCACCGACTACAGTCCTGATGCCCTCAAAAACACATTCTATCACAAACTGAATACACTAATACGCAATACTATCAGTTCAGATATCATAGTACTTGCAGGGGATATGTATACACAAGTAGGACGTCTGAGCTCTTCAAAGGCTCTGCTAGGTACTAAGTATGGACTTAACCCCGACCATGCGGACAACGGGAGCGTCTATTGCAACTGTGTGCGGAGCACCGGCTGTTTCTTATTAGCACATCATCTAGCCACAGTGTGCACCAAAGTACCACTTAGCGACGACCTGTGTCTGGTCAGCGATGGACCCCGATTGATGACGTTGCCATAAGTTACAGGTGGCGTAGTTCCATACTGGACTGTCTCTTGTTCTGCATACCTTCGTTAACTCTGCCGTTTTTCCATGTACTTTACTGGGAAGCGTGCCTAACGCCTGTCTCGATTGGCAACTGAGAAGTTATCTCAGCCCTCGGTCAGACAAGCCTACAAATATGCACTACATACCAAACTTCCGCTCCCTCATACTAATCCTCCGTGGAATAAGATCTCGACCGCCATGCACGATGCAGGAGCTTCTGCATGCGGCACAATCAGTCATCGCGTCACTAGTCATTGGATATCAGAGAGGTTGACGAACCTGTTGGAATCCAGAAGAAAACTCCCGGCTGACTTTGAGCACAATGTGGCCAGACAGAATATTAGGCGCAAACTAAAACGGAGTCTGCGTACTGACTAGGAAGCCTGGTGAACTAGTAGGGCTTAGGAAATAGAGGAAGCAGGAATGGTAGGCAATTATCGTAAGCTGTTTTATCTGGTCTGCACCACTGGTCCTGGCGAGACAATCAGAGACAGTGCCTGTGCCCTGATTCATAATAAGGAGCGCCGTATGGCTGGTTGGGCTGAGCACTTTCAAACTCAGTACACTTGACTACGTGCTCCTGGACCTCTTCCTATTCAGATGGAGCATGCTGAGTCATGGACGGCTAGTTCAGAGACTTCCTCGGGTGTTGAGGTCCCAAACGCGATCGCAGTCCTTACTTGCTTTCGTCCTGCTAGCCCCGATTGTCTCACGCCCACACTATTTTAGGACTGTGATGTGGTCTTCTGCAAAACACTAAGCTCCCTGTTTAAACGGGTCTGGAAGGAATAGACTATCGCAGCTAACTGGAGTGAATAGATTATAGTGGCAATATACAAGAAGGGCAGTCACACAGACTGTACTGTATTAGCCTAACGCCGGTTGTGACCAAATTACTGACCTCAATTCTTGGTCGTCGTCTCACTGCGGAGCATGAATCCCGGATTAGAGAATAGTAAGCAGTTCTCCGCCTTGGACGGGGCTGTATGGACCACCGTTAGAGCGGTGCCACACGTACCGCAGGCGGACAATAGCTGTGTACCTGGACTTCGAAAGTGTGTTCGATTCAATCGGCCTATCCATTCTGTTCGAGGTACTTTTGCCGAAAGGTGTTCCCATGAGATATGTGAGCCTTTTACATGCCCTGTACTCGAGCATGACAGGCCGCGTCACGGTCTAAGGCGGCTTGTCGGATATTTTTATTTTGTGGAATCTCACGAGTCAGATATTCAGGAAATTTAGTTAGTTGATCTTGATTATGCGGCGATATTGTCTTGTTGTTTAATGATGTTGAAACGGCCCAGTCAACTCTGAATAAACTCTCTAGAGTGGTCCCATCATTTGTCTTGTGTTTCTTATCTTTCAAGTACAAAGTGTTGTCATAGGACCACTAACGACTTAATGATACCTTAATCGTTGATAGCGAGGAGCTTGGTTTAGTTACTAACTTCGCTTATCTTGGCAGCTGCACTAGTGCATAAACGCTGAGGTTAGTTCACGTATTGCAAAAGATAGAACTGTCTTCTTGAATCCGCGACATCCTTGGCGCCGGAAAGGAGTTTCCATCCATCTGCAAGCCCGTGTTTACAAGGTCACAGTGTAGGCCGTCTCAAAATATGGGAGGGAGATTTGACCCCTTCGCTCTGAAGATCTGATGCGACTTCATGTCTAATCATCACTATCTGCGAAGCACTGCTGGTGTCGGGTGGCACCAGCTTGTCCTCAACAATGATGTGCGTAGGCGAGTGCTAGGCAATGATAATCAGGATAGTTACTTCGGACAGCAGATGGCACAGGCTACGTATGCCCGGTCACCGCTTACCGAGGACGGCGTGTTTTGTTTGCCAGATCTAGGTTAGCGCAAGGTCCGGGGTGTGCAAAAGTTAACTTGGTAGAGAGAAATGAAGTCACTGACGACCAAACTCGGCGGTGTTGCTCCGTTTCGTCTTCCAGACGAGTCCATGTGACGAGCATTGTGCTTTGCTCGAGACGTTATAGGACATGACCCGCCCTCGGCACCAACGGTTTGTCTGCTGTATCCTGCTCGAACTGCACGTTTAAAGTTGTTCGTTGCTGAGTTCTCTGCGGGGTAATGGCTGATTATGACGCGTGGTAGTGAAAGCCGGAAGGAAGCTGTCTCGCCGATGCCGCCTTATCTTTGCACGGTATCCAGCTGTTTGTGATGGCATGTTATTGACACAAGGTGTGGGCGCCTTAATTCTGAATGGTTATGGCAGCAGGGTTTTACGCTTGGTCCTCCTTCTGTCCCTGTTACTATTCTTCCTTCGACGCCTTGTTCATGGCACGGGAAGAAGTGAACCGCTCAGCACCGTTATTTCCTGCACCAACCACCGATGGCTGGGCCACGTGTTGCGCATGCCAACTCACCGACTCCCACGGCTTGCACTGTTTGCGCGCCGCGGGTGCGGATGAAAGAAGAGGAGAGGTAGTCCAGCGATGACTTGATCAAAAGGAATGAAAGCCTTTACTTCGAATTCGGCATCGGTTGGAGCCTCTCGGCTCCCTGGTTGGGGACCGAAAGACGATGAACACGTTTGGTTGGATACACTTGTTGGCATGGCAAGGAGTCGACCATAGGGGAGTTCGTGTTGAGTTTCTTTGTCCTTCCCTCTCCCGCTTCGCTTCCTCTTCCGACCACGATCTCAATTATTAGGCATAACACGATTTTTGCGACACAGTAGCCGGCTGGTAGCTTTTAGGAACGATGTCCATCCGTTATTGATGACGCAGCCGGCGTGTCTCTGTTTCATCTTTCTTTTCTTTTTTTATTGCGGACTACAGCTGAGGGGTTTTCCATCTGCAGCTGACGTGTATAATGATGACATCACCGTGATTGTACAGCAGCGAAGCGTCAGTTCAAATGGCTGCTGTTTATGATACTGATGACTTATTTTTAAGTCCTCACATGACACTTTTATTCGAATGACAAGACTCATCGATGCTGCCAAGATCGCTACTCTGGCCGCGATGTTTATCTTTTTCCCGGGTTTTATGTTGTCTATAGTCGCTACGACTTATTTATTTCTTTAAGATCCACCACCCTGTTTACGTCACTATCTTTTCTTCTATGGGATTTGGGGCTAAGTCAATTAAATCATAATGGAGAATTAAAACGTTGGATTTGGATTAAATTTTCGATGAAGATTCGTCACAGTTACCTTTAACCATACGTTGGCTGAACATCCGGATGAGCACTAGACCGGCACTTCATGGTTCCGTGAATAGTCAACACTACGCAACCGAATCAAGTTTGTCATTTACCTGAACTGGCAGCGCCTATGAATGGTGCATACCAGTCAAAATATACCTCTTCATCTAGAACACACGTCTACACCCTAACGGTGTACCTCCTCAGCACTGACGTCCGATCAACTGATTGCAGGTGTGGGACGTAAAATAGTTCCAGCAAGAACGAATCCGTCAGTTAAATAATGTTGTGACCAAGTAACTGGAACAATTTGGATTTTGGTCGGTCCTTCACCCTATTGATTTAAACGTTGAACTCGCTACATCAAGGAGCAGTTCATCCTGAATGCTGTGTTGTCATC